CCCGTCCCCGCCCCCCGGCCCCTACACGTGGTGCGCACAACCAGACAGAGGTCCTAAAGCTGACAATCTCTGTCCTTGAGGCCAGGTGGGCACATGTCATCTCCCAATGGTACATCACTGGGCTGCTGTCTCGCTCCCCATCCTGGCAGATGTTCTAGCACACGCGCCAGCCCTCACTAAATTCACCCAGCGAGCCTTGAATGATAATCACCAAAACCTGTCCTTGCTGAACGCTGAAATGTCTTTAACGAGAAAAGCTACCCCCCGAAACAGGATGGACTTAGACGGTGGCGCTGCCTTGCAAGGAGGCCATCATCCAAACAGAATGCTGTGTGTTCATATCTGGTGAGCCTGTTAGGCATCACCTTCACTGCATCACGTGAGAATACAAGTAAATGCCCTGAATTATCTGAACCCCAGCCCAGGGGACTTAATAAACCAATGGTTCAGATGATGGCGCTCTTGATGGAAAATGCCATCCCTGACTTGGGGGTTCATGGTCTTAATTCTGTATTTTCTCTTGCATGTGCCTGTATATTGTCGCCATGTCGCCTGCCTCCAATGTAGCCGCATAGCCTCCAAAGGAGCCACCACCAGGCCCCGTGAAACCCCTTGCTGACTCCTCAGGGCACAGTGCATAAGAGGGGGCATGCGTGTGAGGTGGTGAGAGCTGATGTGAGGGGTAGAAAGTCGGGGGAGGTCATGGAGAGCACCAGTTGACCCATGAGCTGGACTGGGACAGCTAGAGATGCCTCTCCCCCTCCCGGCCTTGGGATGTGCGTTCTGCTTGACTTCCGGGCTCCCAGAGGCTGCTCCAAGGACATGGCACTGAGATAGCGATGCGGTGTCGAGACCCAGCTGGACCGTGTGTATGTGACTCAACCCAGTTAATGCCTCTGTATAAACTTTCAAGATTTGGCAGGCGGGTGCGGAAATCTACCCGTCTTGCGGCCGGCCACTCAAGACAAGCCTTGTAAGTAAGTTCCCCTGCTTATGAAAACGGCTACCTACCCATCTGAAGTGGCCTGATCTTTCTTAGGCTTTGCCCTGCCCTCTGCATCTGGGGGTAGGTTTCAGATTACCCCGGGGGTGGGTGGGAGGCTCCCAGCTCCTGAGGAGGCTGTGAACTCACACAGGATCCCATGAAGCAACACTATACCGTGAGGCTGTGACTTCCCCTCCCCCGGCCTCCCCTCTCCCCCAGTCCCTGTGTTTGTTGACACAGCAGTGGCCTTGGGAAACAGCCCCACCCTGAGGCCTGCAGACTGGGGTCAAACCTTGGCCACTCTGCCTCCTTAGAGAACCCACTTCTCCCTTTCCCACCTGTAAACTGGGATCAGTCCTAACCCCCACCTTCCACCAGGAGAGAACATGTATGAAACACTGGGCTGATAAAAATGCCTACTAGGGGGTCGATACCCTCTTCACCCTCACTGCCCTCAAGGTTTATGAAGATAACTGGGCTGGATCGACCGTCCCCCCCTTCCCTGGCTTTCCCGGCGCTCTATAAGGTGAGCCCGTTCCTTTCATTAAGGAGGGAAGGGTTCAGAGGCCAAGGACTCGCATAGGGTATGATGCAAGCTCATGGGGCGTCCAAGGCCCTGCTCCCAGCTCCTGCTTCAGGACCCTCCTTCTGGGTGTTGCATCTGGACCCCGGAGCTCACGGGCTGCCTCCCTGAGCCCACCCCAAGCTGGGGACCGTGAACTCAGGGAGCCTCATGTGCCTTTGTGCCCCCAAACTATGTTGCCTGGGAGGCCAGCAAAGCCTCTTAGGGAATGAGGGAGGGAAGTGCCACTCCATGCTTTCTGGGTGGCCCTGGGCTTTGCAGAGCTCCTCCCCCTTCTCAAAATACCCTTCCAGCCAGGTGGGGAGGGCTGGGCTTTCCTCTTCTCATTTTACAATGAGGGAACCCAGAGAGGCCAAGACATCGGATTGAGATCCCCCCACACAGGGGGGGCTGACCTCTCCTGAGGATCCATGCTCCCTGGGATCTGGAGGCGGTGGGAGGAGGGAGAATGGGGAGGGACTCTTCTCTCAGCCTCAGTGTCCTCATCTCTAAAATGGGAGTGAGGAGATTGGATCTGACACCTCTTTGCTTATTTCCAGCTTGCTTCAGGGCAAGCCCGGAGGCAGCAAGGGAATCAACTCTACCATTCATCTGAAAGTTCTAAGGAGAGAAGCCGTGTGGAACCGAGGCAAGGGTGGGGCTGCTGGAAGGGCCGGGCCAGAAGTCTCTGAATCTTCAAAGTCCAGGACTTTGCCACGAACTGGCCATGTGGCCTTGACCTGCCCCTGCCTCTGTGTGCCTCAGTCTCCCCTCTGTCCCATGAAGTGATCTTTCAGGACCTCCAGCCCGGAGAGTGTCCCAAACTGTTGTCACAGAGTCCTCTCCCCTCAGAGGCACAGAAAGTTAGGAAAAATGTTGCACGGGAGTTAGATTCTGCAGACCCTGCCCGAGGACAGAGCCCAGAGCCAGGAGGTGCCGACCATTCTGAGGGCTCAGGCCAGCCGGGGCCACCAGAGACCCCCAAAGCAGTGAGGTCCCGGCCACCAGAGGTGCCCAGGCAGGGGCCAGAGGAAACCTAGCAGGGTGATGGTGAGACTGCTATGGTTCTCTGTTAGGAGGTTCTAGAACTCAGCATGTCCTCTCCTGAGACTCCCCCCACCTCTGGCAATGTAGAACCCCCCAGGCCTGCCCTTTGTCCGAAGGAGAGGATTCGCGAGCCACCTCCCTGTGGATGCCTGGCTTAGAGCACTGGTTTGAAACCAGTCGGCACTAGGCGGAATTCCTGACTCTGCCATTTAACAGAGCCAGTAACTTAATGTCCTCACTTCTCAGTTTCCCCCTCTCTAAAATGGGGATATTAGGCCTTCTCGGATGAAGGACAGGATGAGATAATGCAATGTGAACTACTCAGCACGAAATGGCAGCTACTCTTAATAGCTCTGCAAACAGGCTGCAGCTGTTTGGAAAGGTCAGGGGGTCCGGGAGGGCTGGAAGGAGGGAGGGGGTGCTGCGGGAAGGGCAGGGTTGATGTCTGTGGGGGGCTTCCGGGGGAAAAGGAGCGGCCCCAACAAGCTAGGTGTCCTTGGGAGCTTTGCACAGAGATGCACGTGTTGGCTCATGGGCATACCTTTGGGCATGTCGGGGGGGAGTGCCTGGGCAGGGACGTGGGTGGAGATGTCACCAGTCACCTCTGCTGATGCCACCCCATGCGGATACCAGGTTGCTAGTTAGCACATGGCTATGGGAACACGTATGTAGGTCCTCATGCATCACAGCTGAAAAAGCTTTTGGATTTGGCTCTATTCTCTCATTTCACAGATGCAGACTGGGGCCCACGTATGGGGGAACTGAGGGCAAAACCTGGAGAGGGTCCCAGACATCCCTGCTCTCCATCATTTCATTGGGCAGTACC